GAGATATAATAAATTTTATATTGTCATTAATCATGTTGTTTTAAAAATTATATATTTTTTCCAAGAGATTTTGTTAACAAAAATGAATTCTATTCACCCGAGTAAATGTTTGAAATAAATGTTCCAAAATAGTCAAATTATAATTATAAGCCGATGCTTGTATTTTGGTTCTGTCTTGTTCACTGTAGCAGCGTCTCGTCAGGCATCAGCGGTTGTAATGAAGAAAGTCGCATCGCGTGTCGTATTTATAGGCCAACACCTCACGCGACAGGTGGTGCGGTGTGTCGCACAATGGGTCGTAGCCTTGTACGATCGGTTGTAGTAGTCGTGCAACGGGTCGCTAGGTCGCGCGACATATGGCGCTACAAAACGCATATGTCGTGCGACTTGGTCGCATCATCGTTCAACCGTTGCAGCCGTTGTACGACTGTTGCACCCGGAAACATGAAAATAATCGCACGATTACGTCTCACAACTGTTGTATCCTGGTGCAGTGGTCGTTCACCTCTCGTACGATTTTATATATTGCTTGCGACTCAAAGACAACACTTCTACAACAGGACGGAAACAATATTTTCGAAAAAAAAATTATCGCACGAGTGAGGCGCCACTTGTGAAAGGGGCTTTTAGCACGCGTGGCGTATGCTGGAATAAACCAATTTTTTGAGGGAGCGCTCGCATCAAACCTATTCCTAAACTTTCTAACCGTTCCTGAACATAATTACTGAACTGTCTATTCACCCTATTCCAGTACTATTTTCCAGTCCCGTTCTAGAGCACCTTATTCCTGAACTGACGGTCTTATTCCCGAGCAGTCTACCTACCATATTTCAACTGTTCACCACATTAGTCTATCTCTATAACAATGTACACACCTTGTTCCTATGCGCTTTCTTCTCATATCTCTGAACACTTTTCTATTGTGTGCCATGTCAATACTCAATAGAAATAAAAACACGAGTTGACGGCAATGAAACTGTCCTTAGCACCACATCTTAGATCCCTGCGTTGCTGAGTGCTGCTATATTTTTCAATCATTTGTGTTGGTATTGCGATGCGAATATAAATATCTTATAAATGAACACGACCCTCCCGCTTTAAATACTCAAGCAAAAATACAAATAGTTATTTTGATATATGTTTTGATGAGAAGTAAATCGTTACAGTGTAGTGATCTTGCAAAATTTAAAGTTCATCGTTTCTACTCACAAGGCGATTATCGCACACTGACACATCCCCTCTCGTGTAATTTTAGTTGTAGTTATTCTGTTAGTGACATGTACTGCAGATATATCAGTGTCGGTCACGTTATAAATACATTTTATTTTAGAATAGTTCTCCAAGCCTGATATCAGCAAAGGTTACACGTCATGCGCGTCCATCACGGTCTACAGTTAGAGTAGATAATTATACGTTTGTTTGTTTTCTCAAGGGAATCAATTGGTAGGCGTAACGTAGTTAATAAATGCTTGTGTAATGCCTATTGATAATATGTATTATTGATATTATGTATTATACTACATTTACAGTCATTCCTATCTACCAGATATAACACTAAAAAAAAAATTATTCAAACCTCAAACATCGCTACTTCTTTTGGGAAAGGATCATTTAAAATTTGGAGAATTTGTCGTCAAATACCTATTGCTTTTGTGATTTCATTTTATTTTTGCACAACTTTGCATAGTTAATTAGCTATTACTATTCAATGTAGTCAACATAATAATATTCTCAAAAGTGCGTACCATATACAGTCACAATTGTGCAGGATAATATTATATGGAATGCATTCTACTTTCTTTGTGGCGACGATTTTTGGAGAAATATGTTCAAACTCATGTATATGCCCGAATTATTACCATGTCGTAAATACTTAATACGAGTATATTCATGTATATTCCCACGATATTTGTTCGAAGGTGGACGTCGGAAGAGAAGCGCAAAGTGATTGTCGCAAGAGTTTTGTATTAATCCGAGCCGTGGGCAAAGATTGGTGCTACACTATTGATAATCAAGGTGTATTATAGAAAAAACTCTCATACTACCAGGGTAGTAAACACCCCGGGGTTATATGCAGTATACATATAGATGTGTTTTGAAATTAGCTTCTTCCAATTATTCTATAGATAGCATGTACCAATTGTTTGTTTCACCTGAGTGTGTTTGAGTGCAGTGAGAAAAAGCGCGCGGT